TATAAATTAAGATATAACAAAAGTCAGTTGTTTTCAGCATAGATGAGTGAAAGTAGTGAGTCATGATATTCTTTAGTTTAGGTTTCACCAATATATGTTATAGTATTGTATGTGTTTCTTAGGGTTAGATTTTCGAAAGCATAAATGTTTTTTTGAAAAATTAAAAATTTACCTAAGTGTGTTTATTTCTGTGTATAGTTAACACTATTTAAGTATAATTTGATTTTATAACGTGGTTAGTTAGTTAGTTAATTTAATCAATTTAGTTTAGGGTTTAGTGTTTAGGGTCTGGACAACTGAAATATCAGTCGTCTGGTAAATAATTTTACACAGACGACTTACAAGTAAGTCATACTAATATTCCCGCCTAAAATTTTTAAAAAATTTATTTTCCCGCTTGAATAATTTAAACCAGACAACTTACTTGTAAGTCTTCTGGACGACTTACTTGTAAGTCTTCTGGACGACTTAGTTATAAGTCTTCTAGACGACTTACTTCTAAGTCTTCTGGACGACTTACTTGTAAGTCTTCTGGACGACTTACTTGTAAGTCTTCTGGACGACTTAATTTTAAGTCTTCTGGACGACTTACTTTTAAGTCTTCTGGACGACTTACTTGTAAGTATTCTGGACGACTTACTTGTAAGTCTTCTCGAAAGTCTTCTATTTTAGTTTCCCGCTAGAAATATTTTAGTTTCCCGCTAAAATTATTAAAGTCTCCTAGACAACTTACATTTCAGTCTTCTGAATCAAAAATATTTAACCTAATTTTTTTTTGTTTCCTTATATAAAGAAAAATTTACACATTCTCTCTCCTCCTCTCAAATGTCTGCAACAAAAAATGTATTGTTCAACTTTCTAGAACTATCCAACCTCTCTATAATCTCTTTGAACTTATAAACACCAAACTTTATATCAATTTATTGTTTTTGTCTCATGTCTTTCTCATTAACTTATCTTGTTTTGTAGGTTTTTCATCACATGATTCTCATATTCCACTCATTTAAAGATAGATCTATTAACTTTATATGAATTTTTCAGTTATGTCTCATTTTTTCTCACTAATCTATCTTTTTTTTTTTTGCAGGTTTTTAATCAGATGGTTCTCATTTTCATTTGGATATGTATGTTATTTGTTCTATAAAAGTATATATATCTAAGCTTTCACTTATTTTCTGTGTGTTTTAAGCCATTTGAATGTTTTTTGATTTGCAGGTTTTTCAGATCTGGGCTTGATATGCAGGTTTTTCAGATCTGGGCTTGATATGCAGGTTTTTCAGATTTAGAAGTCTTCTGGACGACTTACTTGTAAGTCTTGTGGACGACTTACTTGTAAGTCTTCTGGACGACTTACTTGTAAGTCTTCTGGACGACTTACTTGTAAGTCTTCTGGACGACTTACTTGTAAGTATTCTGGAAGACTTACTTGTAAGTCTTCTGGACGACTTAATTTTAAGTCTTCTGGATGACTTACTTGTTAGTCTTCTGGACAACTTACTTGTAAGTCTTCTGGACGACTTACTTTTAAGTCTTCTGGACGACTTACTTTTAAGTCTTCTGGACGACTTACTTGTAAGTCTTCTGGACGACTTACTTGTAAGTCTTTTGGACGACTTACTTGTAAGTCTTCTCGAAAGACTTCTAGGACGACTTACCTGGAAGTCGTCTGGACTTCCTGTAAGTCATCTGGAATTCTTGTAAGTCATCTGGAATTCCTGTAAGTCGTCTAGAAGTTGTCAGGAAGTTTTCTGGACTTTCTGAAAGTTTTCTGACGCTGTCTTCTTTCATATCAAGTGGAGTCCAAGCTTGTCTTTGTAAAGAATGATCTATTATATTTTTGTAAAATTAGTTCCCAAGATGTAATATATGTGCTATTGTTTTTACACATGTACAAATCAATGAAATAATAGACTTCAGTAGCTTTTTTCATCTTTTGGATCTCCATATGCAATAATAAATCACAATGGCCTTCTACTCATCTTAATAAACAGGAATGTTGGTAGCCTCGTATTGATACAACATTTTAAGAAGCATTTTAACCTTTCTTCCAACAAATCATCCTTGGTGTTAAAGCATATTACATGTTTTACAAGGTTGTGTTGAAAAACGTAGTCAAATTTAATAAAATTAAGGGAGAAAAAATATTTTGAAAATATGAGATTTACATATCATGAAGTTATTTAACACTTTTAAAAATACAAGTAATTCAAAAAAAAATTTTATCACTTAATTCAACCAAGAAAATTTAGTAAAATTCACAGAAGATCAAACATTACGGGATTTGATCAAATATTTTTATCACTCTATTCAACCAAGAAAACTTA